CCGCCCGCCGCCGCCGCCGCCGCCGCCGCGCCGCCCCGGATCCATTTTATGGCGCGGCGCTCCTGCCTGACATTGCGAGGCCGCGCTCCCGGCGGGGGTGGGGTCGTAAATCTCGCTCCCGGCAAGGAAGTTCCCCGCGAGTGGCCCGCGGCCGGGCTCTAACGCTACGCCGCTGGGGGGAAGGAAACGCTGCGCCCCTGCTCCCCGCCCCCAAGTTCTTTTCTCTTCCCGACGAGGCTTGCAGGTCTGCCTTGAAACGCAATGTAAAACGGATTGAGTCACAAGTCCACAAACACGCTGGGTCCTCCCCCCGCCCTTTGTTCTCCCAGACCTGCCCTGCAAACCTTTTCTGGAATTGTCTTTCCCACCCGGGGCGCCGGGGGGCCTCCCTCCGAGAGCAGCTGGAGGACCCGCGAGCCTTTGCCCCCGGCCCCAGCCCGCCCGCCCGCCCGCCCCACCGGAACCCCACTGTATGGGGCGCTAAGCCGTCCAGGGGTGCGCAGGTGAGCCCCCTCACCCAGATGCCCGGCAGGGAAACTGAGGATTCGCTGCGCCGCACCCGCGAGTGCGGACGGCGCTGGCCGGAGAGGAGGTGTGGCGGCAGCTGGCCTTGGCGGTTCCCGGCCGGGCTCGGCGCCCTCGCCAGGTCCTGCGCGCTTCTCCCCGTGCCGGGCACCGAGGGGCTCTCCAGGGCACCCACGCGCACACCGCCCCTCCGCGGCCCCCGCCCTGCCGCCCGCGCAGCGCCCACCCGGGAGCGCAGGAAGCCGGCACAGGCCAGGCTCCACACGTGGCTGCTCCGGGGTGTCATTTTTCATTTCCCGGGAGGACATGTCTTCTGGTGTGCCGGTAGGTCTATTTTGTTGTGACCTTTAATTAACACCCGGCGAGACGCCTCTCGCAGGACCAGCCCGGCGCAGGGGTCACGTGAGGTGTAATGGCATCTCCGCGCCCTAGAGACCCGACCGGGGTGGGCGAGGACGAAGAGGACGATTAGGGCTGAGGGTCGTCAGCTTCCCTCCGAGAGAAGGATGAGGAAGGAAGTGGCAGGGAGACAGTGATTGTGGTGCTGGAGCCCTGGGGAATTTTCCCTGCCTGTGCTACCCGCCGCGGCGGGCTCTCCGTCGCCCCCCGCTCCCCCATCTCCCCCCCCACCCCGCAGCCCCGGAGTGGGAATCCGTCACAGCCACCAAAGCGAGGGAACAAGGTCAAGAATGAAGATGTTGAGCACAGTGTGGAAGTTTCCATTACATTTCTACTTCCGATTTGAAAGCAATCATGTTGAGAGAGGACCTCAGGGGCACAGGTACGCCTCCAGGCAGAACGCGCCAGCTCGGGTCTCTGTGCACCGCGTCGGCGCCGCGGAAGGAATTGTCGCCATTAGGGGAAGCGGCTGCTCCAGCTGAATGGAAGAGCCGGGGAGGCGCGGGTACGGAAGGTGAGATGTCGAGGGGGAACACTTGGGGAGCTCTGCAATCCACCTTGGAGACTGATGAACCCGGAGCGATCTGATTTGCATCCCGAACTATTGCCGGCTCCCATGGCGCCTTTAATGGACTCGGAGCGCCCTCTGTTGGTGGAAGTTTATAACTGGAAGCCCCGCAAGAGGGCTTTACAAATTGATCATTTTAAGTGTACATATCTACGGATTTTTATAAATGTATATTTGCTTTTAGGCAAAACACTCAGCCAATTGAGATATAGATTTCCATCACTCCAGAAAGTTCTCTCCTGCCATTCCCAGGCAGGCCTCACCCCTCCTAAACAGCCACTATTGATTTCTACAAATCAGTTTTGAGAATTTGCATTCTGGGGACACCCCAGATCCAGTCCTATACCGGGCCGGTGAGTGTATGGGAGAACTTCCGGCTACCCTGCTCCAGCGCCGGCGGGACCTGCTTGTCCAATCCCAGGCGCAGCATGGGTGAGACCCTCTTCCACCCCACTGGGACCCCAACACCACCACTTCACATCACCCCACCCCTCTCGCCCAGTGAGAATTTATGCCACGTTCTCAGCCCTAAGCCCTAGCCCAGGCAGGGTAAGTGTGTGGGAGAGCTTCCTCTCCCTCTTACTCCACTTTGTCCCCTCCAGACTCAGCTCAGGCCTGGCATACAGGCCTGGGGTGAAACCCTGCAGCTGCAATCCCTACAGAGAGAGTAGGGGACAGAACCACCCAGCTACTCCAGGAGCAGAATATCTTGCCAGAGGGGCACAACAGGATCACTCCCAAGGGCGGCAGCAGGAAAGAGCTGAGCACAGCAGCCAGACCCAAGCCAGGCACAGCTGGCTAAATCCAAACTTTGTAGATCTGCACCTGAATTTAGTAGGTGCTAAGGTTATAAATTCACCAAAGCTCTACAACAAAGATCAGAAGACAGTGCTACACAAAATGCCAATGAGAAGGAACAAAATGCAATCTCAGATCCCAAACCCACCCATAACAAATGCAGAGGACAGTAACACAGAACAAATTGGGAACCACACAGATGAAATCAATGAATCAACGTCTTCTGAAATAAAGAAACAGCTGTAGAAAGGTATAGAGGAACTCAGATTGGAAATGAAAAAAGAAATCCCTGAATTAATAGCATCTGCAGTAAAGAATCAAATGCAGAAACATATGGAGGGAACCCAGTGCCCATCCAGAACAAGTGCAGAGGACACTAGCTTGGCTCAAATGTATGAATGAAAAGCGTCGATATTAAATAAGCAACAGCAGAAAATCATAGAGGAATTCAGAGTGGGATTCTTTTCTACTAGCTCAGCTCAAATGTATGAATTAATAGTGTCGGTAGTAAATAAGCAACCGCAGAAATTTATAGAGGAACTCAGAGCAGAATTCTTTTCTGAAATAAAAAAAAGAATTCTCTGAACTCATAGCATCTGAAGTAAAGAATCAACTACAGAAACATAGGGAGGAAGCCCAATCTTAAGAAAACACTGCAGTAAAAGAATTTATAACTGCTTCTAAAGAAGACATTGATAAAAAAATACAGAAGATTAGAAAAATGAT